ATGATTTAATTAAACACGTCCCAACAGCTTAGAGCCATTCCAAGACCAGAGCTGTACTTTTTTTGTCATTTGCTCAGTATGTCGCTTTCTCTCACTACCTTTTTCACAGCTCATTCCTTTTGAGGCAGTGTCACGACCCAACAAATGGAACATTATGGTCAATGACTCACAGGTGCTAATGAAAAGGTAAGTTAGGTCAATGGACTTTGAGTTGTCAGTTAAAAGCAAAGACCGCAATAGTAATTTACGGAGCTTCATCACTCCCGGCTTTTAGCTTGTCAAATACATTGTGGTTAGGTTACTGTGAATCGATGCTCTCGGCGCTTTAGAGTCACACCTTTGTTCTAGTTAAAAATATCCAGAGTGGAAATCCATTTTTCTCTTTCCTTGCAGCAGCTGCAGTACTCTACTGTTCTGTAATGCTCTTTTTATTCCTCTTTTACATTATTTAACTTTTTTTATTTCTTCTTCTTCTTCTTCTTCTTCTGGTAGTCACAGGGAAACAGCGGACCACATCGAGGCTATAGCCGACAGGGCAGTAAGAGCCTCAAAGCAGACCTATAGCTCACTGATGGATCTACTGCAGGACAACTCTACAGAGGAGTACATCAGGAACCTAACGGAGCAGTGAGCACAAAGACAAACATATGCTCTTGTAGACATGCACAGGCAGAAACAATGCTTTGTATGAATTCACATTCACATAAAGCATTCTACAACTCCCTGGATTATTGCGCTTTTGCCATATGTGTGTATATAACAAAGTGCACCTATCACTGTATTATAGCTCAAGGTCCTCTTCTTTGCTGCTGCCTCTTAAAGCACACTAGAGTTAAGGAGTAAGACATTTAGCCACAGGGAGACAGCTTCTCTCTACTGTAAGCCTATTGCTTTCTTGGATTTGCCACACGCTTGCTGCATCTCCTAGCGTGTGATTGCTCTGAGGATTATCCTGGATGCTAGACAGAATGATGCAAAAAGCCCTCCGGTGGCCATGATGAGAGCAAGAAGTGAGGAGCTCCAAATTGATTACTCCCTTCTACCAGTAGTCAGCTTGATTCAGAGGAGTTGTGTTCATCTTCGGAGCACTGCAGCACTGTGTGCGTGCTCGCGTGTGTGTGTGTGTCTGCGTGCGTTTGTGTGTCGCTTTATAGGATGCAAAGTGAGCAGTTTACGCACAGATGGGCAGCATAAAATTGCATTTCCCACACATATTTCCCCATGTGGTGGCACTTAAGCAGATCAGAGGCATTTTATAGGCAGGAAGCTACCCAATCAGAAAATGACAAAGGTATTCAACCTGTCTCCAACAAAAGGTCTGTATCACTAGTACTCGGCAGCACTGCAACTGTTAGAAACAATTCACCTCAGTGTTTGTAATCATCAACAGCAAAGGGGTAGTAGCACTTGTTCAGCACAACTTTGAGCTACATTAATGGACTTTACATTTTAGTGGGAAACTGCGTACTTGTTTTTACCTTCCTGCATGTTTTTTGGAGATATTATTACTTTCTGATTGAGCTTTTACATAAAGTAGAATGTTGAAGAATAATTTAAATAACAAACTGAACAGCAGTTCACTGCCTTTTCTGGTTTTTTGAACATTGTGCCTCTTCTGACCATAGTCAGAACCATCCAGTAGAAATGTCACCAGGTCTCGGGGCAATTTTGTACATCCTTATTGCAAAGTGAAAAGTAAAATCACTGAAAATAAGCAAAAAATGATTTTTAGCCAATGCTAGGTCACCGTTAAAAGCTTAAGCCACAGCTTTCCAGCCAGTCTGTCTTGTAAAATCTGTGCAGACATGTAGTGTCTAGTTGAAACCCCAGTCATGTTTCAGATCTCTTAATAAAAGCAGCTACAGTTACTGTTGCAGTTTTTATTCTGAAGTCATTTTTTGCCCCTCCCTTTTCTTTTCTTTTTCTCACAACACAGAGTGATATATTTGCATAGTTTCACACTAGCAGGCTGTTTTCTTGTTCTGATGGAGAAAGGCTCCCTATAGGTTTAAAACATGCCTTTGAGGATCTTTGAATGAAGACATAAAAGTATGAAATTAATCACTGAGTGGGGAAAGAGATAAGGCAGAAGGGACAAAAATTAAATTTGTGCATTAGGTTGGGCTCTTTGAGCCTTGCTGTATTTAACGTAGTGACCAATTACAGCGGTACAAATGGATTTGTTGTTGGGGATATCTTATGCGGCCAGGTTTATTCTTTCATGGAGAACTTCAGGAGACTCAGATGTCTTATATATACACACACAAGAAGTCTTGACTGCGGAGAATAAAAGTGTAGTGACACACACA